CCTTTCATGGCAGAGTTTTGAATTTGGGGGAGGTGCTTCCCCCTCCAAAAGCTTGCTATGCCGACTTATAAAACCCGATGATCAGCATTTATTACACCCTATCAGAGAATACTGGATGCTTAAGCAATTTTATGATTAAGGTAAGGTTTGAGTGACAGATTTCTTGATTTGCAGCTCTCAAGGTTACAGCACCTGAAATTAACTGGCTGTGTCTCCAGTGCGGCTCACGTCTTAGCCATGCACTTTCTCGCACTTTCAGCATTTAGGAGTAATGTGGCGCCAGATTGCCCGCATTATTCCTCACCTGGTGACTTTTTCAGATGTGCTGGGGTCACTCATGTGAGGAGCCAGGAGCCCAGAGCCCTGCAGCACACGAAGCCCCAGAGAACCCACCCATGCTTAACATTAGCCCAAACTGGTGTGTTATGCAAAGGTAGTCGCTGGGGTTGCAGCTGAGCCGATGAAGCATCTTGAGTGGCTGCAGCCAAAATGGATTTGCTCAGCCTAATCCCACTGCACAAACTCCTTCTTGCATTGTTCTCCCTGTAACCATGATTTAGGGTGAAGAAGGTCCCAGAGGGCCCCCAGGACAAGCTGGTGAGAAGGGAGACATTGTGAGTATTTTAATTTTTTCCCCAAGCATTCCATTAAATCTTTGTAAAGCATGGCTCCGTGCAAGAGGCGCTAATGGCGCTGTATATATTTAATTTATTTTGTTCCTTCCCCATTCCGGGGGGAGGGAAGAAATCACTCCCACCACTCAGTGGGTTGAGGTGTGTGTGAGATGCTCTGGTTGTACCTCCTCCTCCTTTCAAGGAATTTGCAGAAGAGTATTTCTTGGTTGCATTTATTTTTGGAGCCACCTGTTGAAGCTGAAAAAATAGGGTTAGAGTTTCAGAGCTGAGGCTTTCTCAACTTCCCAATCTGGGTCTACAATCCTGGGATGTCCAAGTGGTCTCCCATCCAACAGTTAGCCCAGTCTTATATGTTATTAGCTCTGCTTCTATGTTTCGAGGTCAGCCTTGCACTTAGCTGCCCCAGCCCTGAGCATTATGCGCACATGGAAGATGAATGCCTCATTATCATGAACCTCCATCCAAAGTTAGCCCTCAGGGAGAGGGCAAATACTGCCGAATTCCACAGTTTGGCTTCCATCAATTGTCACTTGCTCTCTTCTGCTGACATCTCTACGTCATCTCTTGAAACTAACTGCTTTTGACACTTTTTTCCTATGTACCCTCCTCCTTCCTTCCCCCTCCTTTGTCCTGATTCTCCATCAAATGATGCTGTAGCTCAGTTCCCACTATCAGCCCCCCATCCCACCACCCTGGCCAAATCTTTCACCTCTTTGGCTGAGTTCAGCCTTCATCAAGGCAAAGATACAAGTCAGTTTATACGGGCATTCGCTGTGGGATTGCTACTCCCCCACCACTGGAACAGGTAGACGAGCTGGAATCCCAAATCTCATCATGAATGGCCCTTCTGAAGTTTTTCCAAATCCCTTTCTGCACACATCCTGTCAGTCCTTCAAGGTAGACCATGTAAGGTTTACCCCGTTCATCTCAGAGAAACTCTCATGACACGTGTGTTCAGCAAAGACGTTTACTCAAGCGTAACGTAAGTAAGTACAGACCAGATTAGGGAACTAGAGTTATGAATGCTCATACTACTTTTATTATAATAACAGAATCCTGCAAGTCTGAAGGTGCTTCCCCCCTCCCTCCCTTTATCTTTGTGAGAACTAGGGAGGGGCTTATCTGAGATACCTTCTCAGGTCACAGTTCTGACCCCAACTCAGATTTCTTTTATCTGACCATTGTCTTGATTGTGGCTCTTCCTCCTGTTCCTCAAGGCTATTCCTGCTTTCCATTTCACCTCCATGCACCCAAATCCTGCTGTTTTGCTCCTTTCTATGAGGGGATCACTGTGCTGCTCCATATTATTGAAGATGAGCATCTTTGGAGAAGGCAGTTGACCTCTCAGCTGAGATTAACATGAGCAGAAAGCTGGTTCTGCATTGCCATCCTGCTTAGGAAATTCCCAGAGCATCTAGGTGGCCTAGTAGGAACAGAATGCTGGCCTAGACAAGCCCTTGGGTTCATCCAGCAGCATTCTTATGGACTTAATGGTGATGCCTGAGGAAGTCTGTCTTTCATGAATGGCAGTTACTGGAGAAGACAGCTAGAAGGGTGCTTACATCCTGTTTGGAAGCTTTCTGGGAGCATCAGGTTGGAATACTGGGCATCAGAGGACATGGACTGAATAATCTTGAAGGCTCTTTTCTGGGGATTGGAATAAGGTCTATTCTGAATCTACCTTCAGCCAGACAGATGCTTCTAATGATGTCTCTGGTTATTAGCAGAATATCACATCTGTCAATAGAAGCTTCATTTAGCCATTAGAACCATTATGTTTCCACAAACACAATTCCCATTTCCTGTACAACACTCAGTTTCTGGGAAGGTCTTGAACTTCAAAGGAACGTGATGGCTTTTGATGGCCTTGATTCGTAAGGCAACCTTTGGTTTTCTCCAAGCTCTGAACTTTGAAGGTGAGCGTTTAGTTGTTTTCCTGGAGTTAGTACTTCTCATGATGGTTGGTATATTAATAGAGCCTTTGCTTTCTTGTTTTTGAGGGTCCTCGTGGCTTCAGGGGTCCTCAGGGAGAAATGGGACCCAAGGGAGCATGGGTAAGTACCCCTTCTGTCCAGCGCGGTGAGATTTGGGAGTAATCACAGTGGGAAGCTTGCTTAAATTCCCATTTGAGGTCAAAAATAATGTCCCACTCTTTTTTCCTTCCAGGGGCTTCCTGGGATTAATGGTAAAGATGGCATCCCTGGCATTCCTGGAGTGAAGGTAAGAAGATGCCCTCAAGAAGTGCAAAACAGATGGCCATATGGGTATGGGCGCTCTCTTAATCTTTTTGACCACCCCTTCCATCACCTGGTGGGGAAAATATCCAGAGACAAAATGGGGGAAGTCATTTTGTTAGGGCCACCAGAACTGGAGCTACAAACAAAGAATCTGGAACAGATTTTCTTGTGTTTTCCTGAGCAGGGGGCCAGCCCCTAACCTTTTGGAAAACACAGATTTCCCCCTCTTTACTTCCCTTGAGGTGAATAAGACATTCTCTGGTCCAGTTTGATTCCTGGGGACTTCATGGAGATGGACACCTCCGTTTTGTTTCCTTGGAAATGATCCAGAAGGGGGTTGCCACCCCCTTCTCTTAAGATGCCTTTCAACTTCCCAGTGTAGCCTACAGCCCTGGCATCCCCTGGTGCTTTTCCATCTGAAAGTAGCCCTCGTTGACCCCACTCAACTTTTTGCGATCAGCCAGGAGTAGCCAGATGTTACCATGAGTGTGGTACGTTTTAGATGTTTTAAGACTAATAATGCAGTATGACTGCTAATTTAATGGAACTAATAATGCAACCGTATTAAAATTAATAATTTAGCGTAATTGTGAGTGGAACTGAATACTGTAGGTGGCAAAAGAGGATGAGGGATGGAAGAAATATAATGCTGGAACAACATTTGTCTCGCAGTGGAGTTTAGCCTTCCTTCTCCCTTGGTCAACATTTCTATTAACATCTTGGTTGATGAGGTGGGTGGATTGCTTATTGATTTGCAGAGGACTCACATTTGGTGGATTAGATTATACCTCAGAAGCCAGAAACAGAATTCAATTCAAAACAATGTTGATAGATGAGGGAAATGGGCTGTAGACCACAGAATGAAGTTATGCGCTTAGGAAACAGAAATATGATGTATAGGTGGTAGGGAAAATCTTGGAGCAGTAGCTGATAACGAAACTGGATATGAGCCAGCAGTGTGATGTGATGGCAAAGAAGGCAAATGCCATTTCAGCCTGCATCAGCAGACTATAAAGTCCAAATCATGGGAAGTAATCATTCCACTCTATTCTGCTTTAGTCAGATCTACCAGCTGAGATATTCCATTCGGACCTCTCGTAGTGACACTCCTATGACTTTTTCGTTTAGTTCTGTTTTAAAGAAATGAAAGATCCCATCCCTCTGGTGGCTAATATTTGCCTTTCTCTTTGCATCTTCTCTAATGTGATTTCCTCTCTCTTTTGTCCTGAAGGGAGGTGTAGGACAACCAGGCCTCCCAGGGCCTCTGGGACACAGAGGATTAGCTGTAAGTGTCACGTTCTTCTAAAACCGAACAGGTTTTCCTATATCACCTAAAACTAGACTTGCATTCTGCCAGGTTTAAAATCAAACACCTGCTGCTTCATTTTCCTCTAAACAAGCAAAAAACAAGTCCAAGCCCCCAACAACCCTGGAAGCCTTCTTTGATATGAAATCACCAGGCTATTATTGAAAATGGGCTGTTACCCACCCAAATTGTAATTGCCGTAAATTGGAGATCTAATGGAAAATTATGTATTATGGACAGGTTCCGGAACTCTTTTACCATAAGTGAAAAGGACAATCCAGTTGGGCATTGTCAGGAATTGCTACAGAAATGGGTTCTTTCCAATACATGTTACAGCAAGAGAGTCACTTGTGTTCTGGGGAGTAATTGTGACTATAATCTTTGCTGAATTTCTTAAAAAACAAAACACCAATTATTTACCCAGGCTGGCAGAGCTTATAAAACTATGCCAATGCATTGTGAGAGCCAGGTGGTACAGTAGGTAAACGTACTGGGCTAGAAAACTTCTAGTCCTGTCCTAGACACAGAAGCCAGCTGGATGACCTTGGGCCAACTCCTCCCTCTCAGCCCTAGGAAGAAAGCAAGGGAAAAGCCCTTCTGAAAATGTTGCCAAGAAAACTACAGGAATTTGTTCATGTAGACACCAGAAGTCAGGATTGACTTGAAGGCCATGACAGCCAGTTTGGAGTAGTGATGGTGGTGCTGGACCAGAAGCCAGGAGATCGTGAGTTCTTCTCCTGCCTTAGGCACAAAGCCAGCTGGGTGGCCTTGGGCCAGTCACCCTCTCTCAGCCCTAGGAAGCAGGCAAGGGCAAACCACTTTGAAAATCTTGCCAAGAAAGCTGCAGGGACTTGTCCAGGAGTCAAGGCTGACTTGAAGGGACATGCCAGGGCACTATGGTGTCCTTTGCCTGAGCGTCCCATCTAATGCCCTTTTGCAAGAGTGCCCCACTCTCAGAAAGAATGGCTCTGCAACTTGCAATCGGCCTTTCTCCTACCAGATCCCTGAAGAAGTCATCATATATGAGGACTTGGTGTACAGCAAATAATTCAGATTTTTCTTTTTTCCCCAAAGGGTTTGCCAGGCACACCTGGGAGCAAAGGTGGTCCTGGGGAGAAGGTACAGACTTCAACCCATTCCTGTTCTTGCTATTTGAATTATTAGCTCCTTTTAGCTTTTCTGAGCACTTCTGATGGATTGGGAACTGATTATACGCTTTGCATTTTCTTCTTAATGTCTTTCCAGGGCGAACCAGGGGGACGTGGCCCAACAGGCTTACCTGGGCCATCTGGAAAAATTGTAAGTAAAAGGGGATTTCCATCTCTTTGTCTCTCCTATAAACCTCAGTTTTAAGAGCATTGAAAGTGTTCTTTTCGCTGCCTCTCTTGTTTCCTAAATCCTCCCCCCACCCCCTTTGCTTTTGCGTTGTTGACTTTTTTTTAATCAATTCATCACCAAGATGAATCCCTAGAAGAGTTCCTTTCTGTTTGGCTGCCTCTCCATCTCACTGACTGTTTCCAGGCTTCAGTTCATGGTAGTGAATGCTG